CAGGATGTGGTTTGCCCTCTTGGCTGCCAGGGCACACTGCTGACTCGTATTGAGCCTGCTGTCGACCAGCAACCCCAGATCCCTTTCTGCAGGGCTGCTCTCCAGCCACTCCTCTCCCAAGTTATACTTGTGCCCAGCGTTACTCCATCCTAGGTGCAGAATCCGGCATTTCGACTTGTTAAACTTCTTGCCAATAATCACTGCCCAACGCTCCAATCTCTCTAGATCCCTCTGCAAGGCCTCCTGTCCCTCAAGACAGCCAACAGCACCTCCCAGTTTGGTATCATCAGCAAACTTGCTAATGGTGCATTCAACTCCTGCATCCAGATCGTTGATAAGTATATTGAACAGAACTGGCCCTAGAGTTGAGCCCTGAGGAACGCCGCTGCTCACTGGTTGCCAGCCAGATGAAGCCTCATTCACTACAACCCTTTGAGCCCTGCCCTTCAGCCAGTTCTTCACCCAGCTCACCGTGAACCCGCTCATCCCACAGTAGCCCCTGTCTGCCCCTGACCCTGGCTCATCACTTGCCGTACCTGGGGCTGTTGATGACCCTGTTAACCAGCACCCAGCTCTGCCCGCCCTGTGGGGCTGCTCCCCTTGGAGAGGCAACAGCCTGCGACAGGGTCACCCTCAGCCCCTGGCTCCCCATCCCCTGGGAGCAGCCAGCCCTCACTGAGCCTGACAGCAGGAGACTGTGCTTTGGGGTCTATAACAACATCTTCATTTTTTCCCGATGCATAAGAAACGTCCTTAGACTTTGCTCTAATTAACAATAGCACAAAGCAAAATTTCAACAACAAAACCAAATAAAGATCACCCAAACCAGGCAAAACAACAAAGCATATCAAACCTACCAAAACAAACAAAAAAAATCACTGCGTAGGACTCTAATGTGAGAAAAGGTAAGAGAACAAACAGTATTTAAAGGATATTAGTCACATTGTTTAATATATTACCATCAGACACTTGGATAACTTTATGACAAGCATGTTATATAAAAACTTATGTAGAAATACAGCATTAAGCTTAACCATGTACATATATTTCCTCTGCCATCTTACAAGTACATGCAACTGTTTTAATAAAAAAAAATTAACTGAGGAACAGTATTCTGAAAAGGAAGCCAAAGGGAGGAACACATTTTGGAACATACATCTGGAGTTCTTCTGTTACTGTAACTAGCCACTGTGATCCCTCACAGCTAAATCAAACGTACATCCTCGTTAGCAGAAGCCATTTCTATACCACAGATGTTTAAACTGTAGAAAAGTAAATGTTGGTTACCGGTTAACCCAAAGTAATTAAGTTAAAGAGGTGACTGAACATAAGAAATAGTTATAAAACTGATCAGCCTAACAACTCATTCTGGTGCCATAACTGCAGTTTGTAAATATAAACAAAAATTAAATTCTTATTGGTAACAGCGTGACTAACACTGCAGTCTAATTTTAAACATCTGGATTTAACACCAGAAAATGCATATCACAAATAATTTTTAGAAAGTCTTAGTCAGGTTTTCTTTCAGATTTACACTAATGCTGCCATCACCTGTAATGTGGTAACTCCTATCACAATGATATGGTGGGACCTCCTGTAGATGAATGGGTACAAATAGAACCACATTGACCTAAACCTTGCATTGATATTTCCTAAACAGTTCATGCAAAGTCATCTTCAACCCTCCTTTCTATTACAGACTGTTTTCATTAGAGTTTACACTGAAATATGTAAAGCCACAACTTTACATGCACCAAAATGAAAACACAGAAAAAACATTAAGATCAGAGTAATTAAAAAAGAAATTAAGTAACATCAGCAACCATCACCTAAATTGTGAGACATAACAGTATTCGTTCTCTGGCTGTCATCATTAGTAGGTTCCTAGAAAGACAGTCATCAAAATCCAAAGATCATTACCAATGAAGCAGCAAGAGATGAGTAGTTTTGAAAATAGAGACTACATATTGCTGGGATTAAATTTGCATCTGAAGTATGGAACACCTTTTCTCTTTTTACAGCACTGTCTTCTCAAATGGATAGAAGAACTACTAGATAAACACAAGCTGTAAAAACAAATGAGCCACAGGAATCCTTGTGTCTCCACCGCACTTGTGAGTTATGACTGCCTTCTTGTGGTTTCACAGACTTCACTCTTACCACTTCTAAGACTGATCTCAACTGAGGTCTTACTCTACTCAGCAGACGTTTCTATCAATCTGCAAAAGAATGCAGATGAAATAAACTTCACTTCACTAAGCATTAGGAGGAATTAAATACACTGACACTAACTTGAAGATATTAAAATTAAATATGGAATCTCACACTAAGGGATATACTTTGGGCCAAATCCTGCACACATTTCTTGAAGTTAAGTATTCCAGCTGAAGTGAACAGAAATTAATCTAATAGCATTAATATGGGAAGCAAAAGGTGGTTTGGTGACTATTTGTTTGTAGGCTCTATTTCAAAACCCCCACCCTTCCAAAATGCTAACGTGCCTTTTTTGTCATGTCATAAAGTAGATTTGCTATACAAATGAAATAATGAGACAATAAAAGTATATGCTGGCTCAAGGATGTGACAGAAATGTAGCCCACTGGGAAATTAACACCGAAAAGAACAAAATACATTCTAAAAATGTAATGTTTACTTACGCAAAATACAATATAAATGTAGACATACATGACCTATTTTAGTGTACTTGAAAAAACACAACTGATTTACCAAAAACAGTAATATTCCAGATTTCAGAAATGCGTGCATGCTGCTTTTAATGCTGATTTGACTTTATAACTGAAAATTATAGTCCATATTACTATTCTGTATAATTATAAGATTATTGGTTAGTTGGGTGATTCCCAACAACATGTGATGTGGTACATTTACCACAGGCTGCATTCGCCTGCTCTTGCCTGCACTGCCTACCAGCTGATCATTCCAGAATCAGCTACAAACACCCCAGGGTGTCTCCACACTAGGAAGTTGTGTGAACCACAGGAACACATCTGTTGAGCAAAACAACTCGTGTTGGTGGACTCGATGTCTGCACTACACATATGCCAACTTCCCCTTTCCCTTTTCCTTCAACTAGTTCTAGTCTGGTCCCACGGACGCGATGCCCATTAGTTGCTAAAGCACATTAGGTCCCCCTGGATCATCTCTTCCAGTCATGTTCATCCAGAAGAAATCCACTGCATGAACTCTCAGACTGGTCCATGATGTGAAACAAAAGATGATCATGATGCTCAGGAGGCTCACTCCAAAAACAAACTGATCCACATTAAAACACTAATATGTAGATGCACCTCAGATACTTCTAACATCTCTCACAAACACACAAGAGTAGTATTTCAGTGCTTCCTACTAGACTAGATTTCCCTCAGAAGCCATACTGTTTCAGGGCCATTCAGGGCAGCTTTCTGGACTTGCAAAACACGTAGGGTTCTGGTGTCTCATGTCCTTACAGAACTAAGCATAAAAAAAAAAAATAATAACAACCACACATTTTTAGATCATCTAAAATGTCCATTATAAATAGTCTAACTATATATGAACACAGGAAACTCCATGCAGGTTGCATTGTCATGGAATCATTTCTGATTACAGAACTGCTAAGTGCATTGTACTACATAC